AGGGCATGCTTCTTGTGTTTCCTATGTTGGAATCGGCGGAATATGAGCCAGGAACGCTTCATTATCTGCCAGTGCTTCACGTAGAGCTTTCCTAGTTAATCTAGATAAATGCAGGAGCTCGAAAAACGTAATTCCTGTCGGGATGTTGGCTAGGTGGGCCAACACATTGAACCAAAAAGGACTTTTTGAGCTTTCAGGAGTCTCCTTCCTAAGCGCTTTATTATATCGGAGCTTCTTTGTTTTTGGATCACTGGCGGGTAACTTCGTTTTCTTTGCTGCTTTCTCCGTTGGCTTTGGCGAGCTATCTCCCGCCTCATGGTATTTCTTCAAGTACTCCATTCTGCCACGGGTTCCTGATGTCTGAACAGGTTATGTGGTGAATGATGGTTGTTCATCACCGGAACTGCTACGGCAAGCAGTTTCAACCCCTAGTTTGGGATGGCAGAAACAACATTACAGGACTTTTACTTTGCCTTGGACTTCTTTGAACTTGTCAACGCCATTGCTCATCAGCAAGTAGGTCAGAATGAACCATGATGACCTTGGCCTTCGGAGTGTGTAGGAACATACCCTTCTCCTTTTGGTTGGTGAGGATCAAGATTTAGGGCCTTAGTCTCTGCTTGTGGGATCGATTTCACACCATTTTGCACAAGAAGCTCCGGGAAGCCTATGAACCGCAAGGAGACCATATTTGCAGACACCTTCTTTTGTTCAGATTGAAAGGTTATGATGCATTCGTCCAATAAAGCTTGGATTTTATCCTTCAAGATGTAGCACGCCTTCGTTGGGTGATGAATCATCCTGTAGTACATGTAGTAAATAGGATCATCCGCCCTTGAAGCCTCCTCATGTCGCTTTGATTCCGGAAGCTTGATCTTCTTCATCTTGATTAAAGTCTTGAGAATCGTGACGACCTGCTCATCTATGAAGTCGTACTGCTTCTAGAAGCGGCCATCCGAAGGATTACCTTTCTGTTTTGAAGAGGGTTTGGACAAGGAAATGGTTTCCACTGCTAGAGTATCCTTCCCCTTTGAATGGGTCTGAGGGGTGAAATTTCCTTGGTTAGCACCTCCTCTCCTAGGACGAGATTCACATGATTCATCAGCATCTAACCTTTTGAGCATGCTTTTAACTTGTTCTCCCTGTCAGATCAAGTCTTTCCATGAACAAGCTTCAACAGCGCCCATTTTGGATAGTATGTTGATGGAGAGATTGTTCCAGCACATCTCGATGAGGGTGGCTTTCGAGACCTGATCAGGAGAATGCAGTGATCAGTTTCTGAATCTCTTGACAAACTTACTGACGGAATCTCTTTTCTTCTACTTCTTAGCTAGAAGAGTGGCCATAGATACTTCTATGTTATCGTCGAAGAATCTGACCATGAAAAGCCTCTCCATGTCCTTCTAACAATTGATGGACCCAGGCTCCAATCTGCAGAACCACTCAAAAGAGACCCCCTTGAGGGTACCAAAGAACAGTTGAGTCACAATGGGATCATTTCCCACTATGTGCCCAATTTGTGCCTGGAAGTAATAGATATATTGGGTAGAAGAGCCCGTGCCATCAAATTGTAGGAGGCTGATTGGCTTAAACTTTGAAGGATAATGAACAACATCTCATTCGATAGGGTACGGTCTAGTCACCCCCAGTTCTTTGAATTTTCTCTAAAGCTTCAAAGCATCAAGTTGCTTCTAAAAGTCATTCAACTTCTGGTCTATCTCTTTCTTGTGAGGGTTGGATTCGGCTTCTGATGATTTGGAATAAGCTTTTAGAGTTTCCTCTTCATCACCCCCTGTATCATTGTCCTCTTGGTTTGGATGGCTAGATCCCCCAGCTTCAGGTAAAGGTCGTTGATATCCGGATCCTGAAGCTTCGCCAAAACCTTTCTTCTTTTTCTTCTTCTCCTTTTTCTTAAGGAGCTTGTCTATCGTCTCTCTCATGAGCTTGATAGTTTTCAGTTGTTGGAGAAGAGTAGCTTGCTACTCCTCTAATCTTTTTGCCAGGTCCTCCGCATTTCCAACCATATGAGCATTTGTGCATCCACTTTGATCAGTGCTGGATGTTTAGGAAGTAGCAATGGCTGAGTTGTCAAGATCATCATCGGTATCGTCAAAAATATCTGCTAAACGCTGGTACTCCAATAGAGTTACCGAGTCGGTACGGGTGCGGGTGTCGAAAGATACCCTCTTTCTCAATAAACAACCCCCTCAGCCCAGGAGAAAATTCGGGATTAGAGGAGTCAGAAGGGCCACCCGGTCCTTTGCTTTTACCCCTGCTAGTCATATTGATTGTAACTTTAGCAGGTTCATTATTAGGAATTTGTTTTCTGGGACAAAAGCGTCTTCTTTTGGATGATGAGAGTCCGAACAGTCTAGACAGTCGCTCAAAGACAGAGGGCTTGGGTGATGGGCCCCTGCACTAGCATTTGGTAAGTACCGTGAAGATGAGTCTTTCACAGTTGCAACGAGATTTTATCTGGTTTAGATTGCGTTTACAAACCAGGTAATCATGGAGATCAGCAACATGACCACCCCTTGTTAACTCCAATAGTTTGTTTATGCATGCACAAGAATCTCTAAGTGTTAGAGATTGGCGAGCCTGAGTGGTCGGGTGAGCCTCGTCACTCTCATGCTTGATACGAGGTTCGTTAGTTGGGCGAGCCTCGTCATTCATGCGAGCATCACCATTTGGACGAACCTGGTGATGAAATTATCGTCTTGGATGAGTCTGGACTTGGTAACTTGAAAGTGGCCCAGTGGTGGAGCGAGCTATGTGCTGGAGGCAATGTTCATCATCTTGACGCACCTCAGTTCTACCAACCTCGACAGTGGGGCGAACCTGGTTCGGGAGACGAACTTGGTGTCTTGGATGAGCCTCGTGTTAAAGACAAGGTTTTCATCATCTGGATGTACTTGGATGCACGAGCAGTGATGACGAGGTTCACGCTGTGGGTGAGGTTCGTCATTTTGACGCATCTCAGTTGGGCGAGTCTTGACTAATTTACGAGCTCTAGCCACGTCATCTTGGGGCCGATAGTGGAAGCCATCCAGAGGGGCTAAGGCGCGGGCTTCACGACGGGCCTGATTCTGGCGTTGACGACATCTTACCCTTTTTTACAGCAAATTGGTCGCGGGCTCCGCAACAATTGAAGTTTGTTTGAGTTGTTTAACGACCCATTGCTTAGCCGGACGGCTAGTTTTTAGAGCCTCAACAGTCAGAGGCAAGGATCTCTTCTCAAGGCAAACTCGGGTTGAGTTGTCAGAAGCCGAATTGGCTAGAGTCTACGAGAGAGACTTTGCGGCACTTGCGTGCTTTGGTGGAACGTGGAGCATAGGAGGAGAGGAACTCCGCACACTTGGATTGATAAACTTGATGACGAGGGTTTCGACGTCAGTTCCCATGGCAATCATGTCTGACTGCGCCACAATCATTTCTTCAGAGAAAATAATATCTCCCATTGTGGTCGCCATCTTCTGTAGAGTCTCGAAAAAAACGATACGACTAGTTCTTCGACTACTTGGTCGCAAGAATAGACTCTATCACTTTGTAAAAATCTTTTTACAATCGTTCTTTTTTCAAGTACAGAAGAGGAGAAGATTGATTTGACTTCTCCTTTTTTTAATATGGGTTTAATATGGCGATGAGATGCATCGCTCGATGCTCGTGTCAAGCTTACTTCTCGTTGACGATCGGAGCAAGATTGCTTCCAACTTGAGGAGGAAATTAGCCTCTTGATGAGTGCTTTAGCTGCTTGTGGCTATTATTGCTTCTTGATGTGTGTGCGTCTAAGTTTAGGGTCTCTCCAAAAGAAGGTCCCTCTTTCATAGTTGTTCACGAGTATTTATAGGCGTTCAGTATGTAACTGGCGCTGAGATCATGAGATCAGGAGCGTAACTGACTCCTTAGATTTAGCCCACGTAGGCTCACTAGGTCTTCATGGCCGTTAGCCTCCTGGCATCGAGCCTCATTTGATAAGACGAGCCTCGCTGTGTGGCGAGGTTCGTCTGATGAGACGAGCCTCGCTGCATGATGAAGTTCGTCTGATGAGACGGGCCTCGACGCGTGGCGAGGTTCGTCTGATAAGACGGGTTTCGCTGCGTGGCGATCTTTGTCTTTGATGATTGAGCATGGTTATGTGTTGAACCTCATCTTCTGGGGCGAGTCTTATTGCCTGACGAGGTTCGTCTCTGGATGAACTTCGCCTCCTGAATGGGCTTTATTTTCTAGAGGAGCTCCGTCTCTAATGACAAGGCTCGTCTTCAATAACGAGCTTCGTCTTCTATGATAAGCTTCATCTTTAATGACTAGTTTCATCTTCTGAATCAGTTTTGTCCCAAGTGACGAACTTCGAACTTCGTTTCAAATGATGAGCTTCACCTTCTGAAGGAGCTTTGTCCCCAGTGACGAGCTTCGAACTTCGTCTCCATTGACAAGCTTAGTCTTCTGAGTGATGAGGTGTTTGAGAGCTTCGTCTAGCTGAGACGAGATTCATTTACTGAGACGAGGTTCGTCACTCTTTTGTTTCTTGACATTTTTTAGTCCCTACAATAAGACCAACAATGCTTCGGATAATTAAAAAACTAAAACACAACATATGCTAAGAATGAGTGCAGCAGAAATGAGAATATTATATTAGTCTTGTGGGTACACAAGATAGGATAAGAAACAGGGTGCATTCATAGTAAATTAAAGGTTGCTCCTATTGTGGGTTGTTGGATGCGAACCCTGATTTAAGTAACTTGTATTACATTTTATGAATAATTCAAGCAAATCGGGAAATTTGGAGAAGCTTTATGCCCGGTCAACTTGAACGTAGAGGAGTAAGAGAAGTACCATTACATCTATTAACAGATAGCTAGTATTATAGTTTAACTGCTAATGACAGTAATGGACACACTTTTTGAGGTAAATTGAATGAAGCCTTTATTATTTCTAGAAGCAGAAGAGCCACATAAATAAGCATCCGTAAGAAAGCTCGGAAGCGATACTGAAGCAGTTACCTTTCTCAGTTCTGGGAGAATGATCCTATTCACAGCGGCTTCAAGAGCAACTGACGCAACAGCAACTATTGAAATAAGTCTGGGAAGAGTGGGATCAATAATTCCAGATGCAGCATCTCCTGTAGCTAGTAAAGTAAGAGCGGGAAAAAGGATGGATGGATTGAATAAAAAGGAACGCTCATCCTTGGCGGGAGCTCGAAGCACTTGAGAAACCTGCCCACTACTGTGATTTGTGAGACACATGGGTTCCCCTGGGCTCATCCCTGGAGCCCTTGGGATCAATTTTATTAGACCTGCAGTGCCTCGAAAAATATCTGATGGAGCAGCTAATGAAATTGTCACCCTTTCACCTTCTTGAGCAGGAAGCTCTACAGTCTCAGTAGCAAATTTATGGGTAGAAGCAACTCCAGAAGGAGTGCGGACCTGAACGATAGCAACGCCACAGATCAGTAATGCAGGAATAATATATAGAATACAAAATTGAAACTTAAGGTCTGACATTTAAATGTTTAAAAAAGAGAAATTATGCCTAACACTTGAAAAGTGAATTATCAAGATACTACTGAGTTCTAATGCATGAATCATGTTCTACAGTTGCAAAGGTAACCATTATCGTACAGTCTTGTCTCTTTTACTTTGATTGACATTATGAAAAGCTTTTTGCAAAAATTTTCTTTCGAGGGCACAAATCTGAACATAAATGAAAAATCCTAGCATAAAACACATATTATAACATATTTTGGCAGTTATTAATTATTACATGTGCATCTGCATGTTAAGCAAACATCAGTTCTCCAATCTGTTACCTGCTCTTGTCATATTACCCACTTGACTCTGGCACGGGATGACCAGCACATAATTGTGATTTAAAAATGTTATAAACTCTTATTAACACATTTTTACTTGACAACCAATGCAGAACTCAATAAATACAAAAGAAATGATAAGCTATGAGTACGTGCATGTTAGGCAAATGGTAAAAATGGCTTATAAGCCACTTGGAGATGTTTAGCAAATGGCTTATTTTGACTTATAATCCAAAAAAAATAAGCTATGGTACCACATGTCCAGTTTAGTCATTTTAACAACAGTGATGGATTATAATCCACTTATTTGCCAAATACTTACTAGTAAATATTGACTGTAATCCATTAAATTTACCAAACACTCTAGATTATAATCCAATCCACTTGGATTATCCATTTGTGATTATAAGCCAAAGTTCCCAAACATGCTCTATATATCATGTGCGGTGCCATCATTAATTCACCTTTTTCCTGAAAAACATGAAGATTCTTGTGGACTATGACTCTACATTGAGAAGATCTCAAAAAGATTTAACTTTAAGACTATCAATTACGTCAATGAT